CACCCAGCGGGCAAATGTCAGACGTAATCGAAATGTGTTCTCGTCGGATCTTCACCACGATCCCAAAAGCTGGTGTGCTAGTTATCCGTATCTCATCACCAAGTCAGCGCCAGCCCGGAGGGCGTAACCAACTTGACAGGTCAAGCACACAGATCACGATCGGCTGAGCCCAAATAGGCTCAGCACCTGAGTTGTTCGTTTCCGTTCCCGTTGCCTGCTGGCACTAAAATAAGGAAACGTACCCCACACCAAGACCCATCCACCAGGAAGTGCTTGCACCCACTCCCACCCCAGGAAAACTGTCTGCTTGTGAAAACTGCCTGCTGTCACTAGGTGCTAACGTTGTAATACATCAACGTTGCTGATTTTAACCGTGCAATCAGCTTCTCAGGGGTGTTGCCACGGTGCCCTCGAGTGCATTCTGACTCATAATGGCCCGTGTGCCAGCAGCGCCACCCCGGAGGCTGTCCCAGGGTGAGTACTTCCAGGAGCAGGTCACCAGGTCTTTGCCCAGTGGAGCTGCTGATGGCTGTTAACCACCAACCTTGTGGGTGGCAGCTGAGTGCTTAACTATCGCACCACCAGGGCTCCTGATCTACGGTGCAGAGGACTTTCCCCGATTTTCTATGTGTGCTTCTGTAGATGCTGTTGTGTGAAATGATAGCTCTGCTACTTACAAGTCAAAGCCTGAAGCCCAAAGTTACAGAACACTGACGGATGAAATGGAAACGGGCTCGCAAGGCTTTGCTGCCATTGTCAGTTACCATCCAGTCCATTCCAATGCATGGGAGACAACATGTGCAGAGCACAGCTGCCACGGTGGGTCTGCAGGGCTGGGACCTTTGGAAGCAGATGGTCTCTGGGTAGGTTTGAACTGCCACCCATCAGTTAGCAGGCAAGGGCTAAAACCTCTGTGCCCCTTCAAGTTTGGGGTAGTCTTCAAGTTTTTAAGTGTGAAAAATAAATTTACACTGAAAAGAGCAAAAACTCCCTGCAAAAAACCACCACCACCTTGTACAGAGTGCAGTGGGAGCATGCAAGCCAACCGCTGAGTGAGGGTGACGGGAGACACGCACAACCCTCCGAATGGTTTTCTGCATTTTACAGGAGGGGCAGCTACAGTGCCAACTATTAGTAAGAGGAAACAAGCCCTTCGGTCACGTCTACTTCTGAAGAACTCGCATGGGTAGCACCTTGGCGTTTCTAAGTTGGCCTCAAATCGGATCACTGTTATCCCAAATTTCTAAGAAACACCAATCTAGTGTTTCTTAGAAACACTTGGTTCTAAGATTGTTGAACAAAGACAGAACTCATAAAATGCTGAATGAATGAATAATTAATGAATGAAATATATCTGTACTATCTCTGCATTATTAGATGACCTTTAACATAAAACTGAACAGAACAATGCGGCTAGTAACAGAGATTATGGGAATATACCTGCAGAAGCAAGGTTACAGGCCCAGGACTACCAAGGCCTAATGTTAAAGCAGGTGCCGGCTTCAGCTACCTGCTCTCATAGGTAACCAAGGAGGCCTGGTTTAGAGAAAGGCCCCAATGCTAACCTCACTGTGGACAGCCCCTTCCATGGCCACCATCAGCATGGTGGAAAGCCCGCTAGCACAGCCCGGAGCTGGCTTCCCGCCAAGCTGATGGGTGGATGCAGGACGGAGAGCAGTCCCTCTCCCCTGCTCTAGGCTCAGCTGGTCGGGCCGTGCCTCCACCCCAACCTGAGTGTCAACGGTGCCCTCTCTGCACGTTCTTGGCCTTGCTGTCGGGGGCGTGGGTTACTTACCTCACCCTAAATTCCCTCAGTGTATCCCAGGCTCTGCTACATGCTGGCATGAATGGACATGACTGCTCTTCACACCACCATCCCCTCAGCCTCTGAGAATACACGTGTTGCCTTTGAAACTCTACCGTCTTTTGAGTCACAGCTGAAATGCTACCTCCTGCCAGCTGAAAGGGGTTCTTCTCTGCATACCCCTGGCCTTTCCACATCCCAATTCAAATGTGGATCAAGATCACCTATGGACAGTATGGCGCAGTGCCTAAGGCACCTG